AACGGAGCTGATCCAGATTTGTGTCCGATATGACGTAATATCTGAAATGTGGACCCACGGCACTATCAGAAAGTTGCTATCAGAAACAATGCCCGACTGTTTTGGACGTAATATGGTCGGTGTTTACATTAGCATCGCTAACACTCAGAGCTAACCTGTACTGGAGAGCATGTGTGTGAAGAAGCAGGAAGTAAAAAGGAACTCACCTTGTGGTATAACCGGCAAGAGAGAAAGCCTTTGAGCTCCATACTGTTTCAGAGATAATCCTTGATAAACCATGATATGGAGTTTCATCACGGCAGTATTTAGTTTAGACAGTAGCTGCCGGGTCCCGCATGAGCTCAGACCTTTTTTATTTTATCAATTTTTATAAGCTTTTACCCCAAATCAACACTTTTGAAAGAGGAAGTGAAATAGAGGGATATGAGGCATGGCTAGAATGGGTGATCTGTTTGGTATTTTGAGCAAAACACTTCATAGACATGTTTTTTATATATTTGTATATTTCTGAGACCTATGCTATTGCCTAAAAATAGCATGAGAGACACACAGTAGAAATAAACACATACAAACACTAACAGGGGTTTCAGGGACGGGCAGTGACAGTCGGTCCGTTCTTCTATATGTCTGTCGGTCTCAAATCTAAAGGGTGCAATAACGATTTTTATCCAATATGCATAAACAGCGGACACTGATAGGTGACCTTTAAATGCAGAGCCAGTTTTTTGGGGGTTTTAAAGAGATTACATTATTATCACGACAGGTAGCAAGCCACCAGACTGAAAAGAAGAATATTTTGACTTCCTGTAGGCTTAGAATAATAAACCCTCTATTAGGATCAAATAACACTTGACCACGGAGCTGACTTATTACACTTTTCAGAAATAAGAAATGGATTAAAGCTTTCAGAGAGCAGCCCTGGGGCTAAATGTGATATCCAAATAACCTAATCCTAATTTGAGCACCTCTAATGAAGGAGTATGTGAAGTGCATATTTTTAGTATGTTGATAAGGAGGATTGCAGGTGCTGCCGATGAGTCATACTTCAGGCCGAAATGGAAATCAGAGGAAGGGGTGAATTTGTTCAGTAAGAGCAGGGTGGAGGAACACTTTGAGAGCTCTTCATGTCTCATCATCATAGTTACCTCAATCTCAGCACTCGTCTGAAGAAAAGGGAGACGAGCTCTTAGAGCGGGATTACTTCCCCATCAACAGCCCTTTTAAACTGTGCAGCATCAATACTCACTAAAACTCCACTGTATATATTGTGATATAAATGTTATATTTAGCGATATAATGTACACATTGCATACAATATATATATTTTTTTCTATTTCATTGTATCTTTTTTTGGACATTTTTACTTTAACTGTTTATTTTTATAGAATGATCTAAATTAAAACAAATATATAACACGTTTTTGTATTAACTTCTTAAGTTTATGAAAATATTTGTATTGTATTTTATCGTTTATTGGTGTTTTTAATCTAATTTATGTTTAAATAAAAAATCTTTATTTTGTTTTTTTAATGGACGATTCTATTATTATTTTTGAATGGGCCTTTTAGTTATTTATTCATTTAAACTTGTATTTATTTAATTGTAAAATGGCACATCTGTCACAAAACCCCATTTCCCCCGGGGTAAATAAAGCATTCTCATTATGTCACATTATGTACACTGACATTATGATAATCTAAGAAGTCAGGATGCTTGAAATAACTCGTGGGGCCAAGGAAGCCACAAAGAAGCCCGGTTTGAAAGTGTTTCTCCGGCTGATTCATCGAAGCTGAGAGAAGAACAATGAGTGTTCATCAGGGGGAAGGCGGGCATTGACTGATGTTTTTCTCAAGCTCTTCTTCCCGTCGGCAACTCAGGCAGCAATTTGTCGGTCATGCGTGTCACCGTGCTTTATGGACACGTGTTGGAGACCAACGAGAGCCGATGGCTGTTTTTACCCCTGAAGGGCTTTCAGAGGCTGCCATGGGAACACTGAGAGAAAAGAAACATTTCAAGTTGCACTGAAATATGTCAAAGTTAAACGCAGTAACTCGTCTTATTGTTCATCTTTGAAACTCTGCAAATAGCATCTAATTAATAGAGCTCGGGATTTTTTATGGATTTCAAAAAATGTATTTCTTTAAGAAAAGAAAAGAACATATATATATATGTTAATAATTTAGTTTTTGGGAGAAGGGGTGGGATTGTTTAAGTGTAACCTTCTTCAGACCCCTTTTCGGATGTGTAATTAAGTAGATTATTTTAGAATCAGTAATATTTATGTATAACAATTTGACACTGCTTAATGTTGTATTCTATAATAATTATCATGGTAAATGTTTGTATTATTGTTTACACATTCAAAATAAATCAAATCAAATCAAAAATCAAATCAAATCAAAATAACTGGACATATTATCTAAAAAATATTTAAATACGATGCAAAAAATCCACGAAATCCTCTCAAATATTGTAGGAGCGAAAGCAACTGATTTACATCCTGAGTCATAGCCTTCATTTATCACACTGAGGGTCAGGGACAAACCTAATCCTTCAATACTTTTGGAGCATGTACTTGTGCGATTACATGTAAATGTGGCATCCTGGACCTCAAAATGCACGTTTATATTTTACCATATTGCATGCAAGACTGTCATATGACCAACACAAATCATTCTCTCCATTAAAGCCCCTGTCACACTGTCCCGAAATTGACACCCGATGGACACACGATTAAGGAAATGTTCAAATTCGGCTCTGATCGTAACAACATCGGGCCATTCGTGAGGGCATCTTAAGCCATCGTATGACCGCCGGTGGAGTTTCTCAGGCTCCGGCAGCAACTTCGGGAGTGGTGGCAAAATCTTTGGCATCACAAAGCATTGCCGAAGGACCTTGTGAAGGTTCATTTTCGTGTTGACTTCGTGTGTCCATTTTGCCCTTCGTAAGGCATTCGTGAGGGCATCTTAAGCCATCGTATGACCGCCGGTGGAGTTTCTCAGGCTCCGGCAGCAACTTCGGGAGCGGTGGCAAAATCTTTGGCATGCCAAAGATGGCTTAAGATGTCCCGATGTTGCTACGATCAGAGCCGAATTTGAACATTTCCTTTATCGTGCGTCCATCTGGTTGTTTTATTGCACAACAAAATCATGTAAACATATTATGTAAATAACCCAATTTGTGTTCTGTGGAACTAAAAAGGATATAATATATTATTTTGAAGGCGAGGAAGTTGTTGTTGCTATGGAAACAACATGACGGAGAAAACTTAATATCTTCTACATATAAAGACGGAGAAAGTAAAGAACAAAGTCGGAAAATATCAGTACAGTATCATAATACTTTAACATAATTGTTTGTGTTACTTTCGTTGCNTTGCTAGGCAATGACCCCTTTACGTTCAGACGCAGTCTTACAAACCTCTCATTCCTCTTCCTGTTATTTATGAATATATCAGTTACACTCCCATTTCACAGCGCTCTCTCCATTTCGGCCAATCTTAAGTTCACCTCTACTCCAGAATTTTACATACCTACCCCAGAATGTACCACTGAGTCCTAAGGACGTATCGCGGGGGACAAATCGTTCACCGACCTTATCCTGTGGTCTTCAGCACCTCCGCAACATGCAGTATGAGGTTTGTGCATTTGTAGCCGAGATTCAACCATAAGACAGGACGAACTCTTCGTTCAGGACGCCGTCCTGACAAGTTGTTTGCGAAGTTGAACAAGGTAGATCCATCTTAGACACCAAACTTATTACTTAGACTTCAACCGCACCAACTTACAGCACGACGACCCTGAGCGACATCCAGGAATCCGTCCCCAGTTTGAGTTTATGTGTCACCCGGGTTTTACACATATTTTACCCATGATCACCCTCCCGGCCCTGACCCAAGGTTACACAATATTCGTCTTGAATAACTTTACTTTGAATAACGCTGTACTCAATTTGGACCTTGATTGTTTCGAAGTTACTAACGATATTCTTTGTAATTTGTAATGTTACAAGTCAAGTAAGTAAAGAATACCGAGATAGCACGCCGTCGAAAAGGTCTCAGGTAAAGAAGTGACATCTAATGAGATAAATATGGGCAGAGAGTCCGTCGGTTAGTTATGTTTCGAGTTGTATATGCTATTGAGAGGGAGTTTCTGGCGTCTGCGCGTCTGTGTGAACGGGAGCAGTGACAGCTTCCTGCTGGTCTCTTACAACAAGTCTATCCTTTGTAGGATATATATGAGACACCCACGACGTAGGACCTTACGATCGAGAGTTCTTATGAATCCCACAGCAGAGTATATGAGAACTACAAACTCCACGGAGGGCCAGTAGTGTACAACCCGAGTCCGAGAATCGACTCGCTCCGGAGATGTCTCTACCCTTGAGTCGGCTCATGGTCACGGTCGTGCTGAAGTTTGCAGTGCGGTTGAAGTCTAAGTATAAAGTTTGTGTCTAAGTCTACCTTGTTCAACTTCGCAAACAAACTTGTCAGACGTCCTGCCGTCCCTGAACGAAAGTTCGTCCTTGTCTTGACTTGAATCTCCTCACAATGCACTCAAACCGCATATATGCATGCACTTTGCCGGCAGTGCTGATCTATGCCTATACCCGCGACTTCACAGATGTATCTACAGTATCTTTCACTAGGACGCCGCCAAGGCTTCCTAAATTTTTAGGGTTCGCCTCCCGGACTAAACCCGGGGCCCGACCCAACTGTGTACACCGAAATCTCGTATTGCAATCGTAAAACGAAGACCGGCACTAAATACTAATCTTGTCCTATTTTCATCTCATCTGTACACCTCTAATACGGCCGACTGTTTGCCACGACACAGTTACTTGTCCTGTCCGACAGCAAAGGGTGTCCTCGGAATCAAGTCGCATCATTAAGAGGGATCTACGAGACTCCGTTGCTACGAATCACACGGGAAAGCAGACAGCTGCACTTGTATATGACGTCTCCGTCGAAGGAAGTCCACGGAGCTATGTAGAGGTTGGATATCTTTATCACAGTAGCGTCGTAGAGAGAATGTCCAGTGAGCTTTCAATCTCTATATCCCCTACGCGAACAGACCCCAAACAGTCGTGTTTAAGAGTAAATAGCTGCTAGCTGATCAGACTTGATCCAGATAAATTATAAAGAGTGAAAAACACAAACATGTAGTTGTAAGAAATTTAGGAAAGGAAGCGGATATAAGTTGTAAAACGATTGTGAAATAAATTACTTAGGAGATTATCTAACGTTGGGAAGAGGTAGATACAAATAGAAGGTTTGTAAAAGCCTGCGTCTGAACGTGAAAGGGGTATTGCTACAACGAAAATCCGTTGGGCCGCATTTGCCTCGAAACCGCAGATAGTTACGCGCACTTCGCAACGCCTACAGGACAAGGTCTACGTGCAGTTAGGGTTGCCCTACGGTATTTATTTGATGTGTCTTAGTAGTTGATGTGTGAGCGTGTATCTAGGTTAAAGTCTCTTTCTGACTTATTCTCTCAAGTAAGTTTAAGTTGGACAGATATTATCGCTTCGAGAATAGTTCCGAAGGAAGTTAATTCAGATAAGATATTATTGTGCGTATTACGAGAGCTTACATTGAGAGATTTTGTTGGCGGAATTTGTATATAGATGCTACCATATTCGGTATATACGACTCAAAACAACGTGAGTTTTATACGGCATAAATTTAAAGGATACCATTAATACACTAGTTTTATCTCCGGCAAGCTCCACAGGTATTAGGACTTTATGCGGGTCGCTGGATTAAAGAATTACACTTTAAATGTCATGTTTTCTTAACAAGTGTATTTCTTATGTATAAAATATCTTTTTGTACATGTTTTTTGAGGTCTCGAAGCCCCACATTAACTTAGTCTTTTTATAAATAACAATGGTTTAGGATTGAACACGGGAGTTATTCGTGGAATTCAAGGAGGACTCGAACAGTCTGTGCACTTCAGTTGTGCAGAATGTATTCATCTCTTACTGTTGAGAGATTTGGTCTTTCAGCACTTTATTATAGGTTTACGCCCCACGCGGTTTGTTTACGACTTCGATAGACTTTATGTAACAATATAACAATTTAATATCAGATATGCATTAGTATGTTTATACTACTGATAACATCATAAAGTTTGACATGTTGGGACCGGGAACAGCAAGCTTTGTGTATATACAGACATGATCACCGGCTCCTGGGTACTTTAACTTCGACTACTGTGACGTAGGGGACGAGTATTTAGTACAATGCTATCACTACATAGACAAATCGCTGTTCAACAATCAAGGTAACAGATAACAGCAGATATTACAACGCTCGCAAGCACTCTGCTGCATTAGCAACCGCAGACAATAATCAGTACCCTTGGCCTCTCCATACTGATTTACATATATCACAAGCGTTCTTCGACGCACTGCTCCCCCGTGTTTGAAATTCCCCAAAGTATTGTCACACATTGATACTTTACCAAACAGGAGTGGAGAGACACCTCGAGTTATTCTTCATCCTGGTAAAACAAACCCAATAATAATGCCGCTCTTAAAATAAGAAACCAAGACCCGACGATATCTAGCATGAAACCAGCACTAAGAAATTACGGAGTGAGAACACGACCATTAGCGTTCGTCCGGGACTCAAACACTTATCGACCTTTGGTAAAATTTTTCTGGGACCTATACAGTACGCAACAACACGCCCCTGGGGTGCGGTTTCAATAGAGAACATCTGAACATACACCACAGAGGCACCTCCGCCAGCAACACGGCAGATGCAAAGGCACGATCCCATTCCAGCCCCACAACCAGTCGGTCCAAGTTGGGTGACGTCAGTCGTACAGGCAACACAGGTCTGTTTCTACGCCTGTAAGCACTTGAGAGGAAAGACCATGCCTCCACCAGTCGCAACACATTAGAACAAAGGAAGGGCTCTCAGAGCGGGGTACACTCTCTGTAACTTCCGCAACAGCCGTATAACGTATTATCAATGACCATGGACTTCCCTCCTTAGTTCTCCCGTCTGGAAGCGTCCCGATCTTGTAGCGGCGTCTCCTGTCTTGGTAGTCCGTGAGTCTCAATGTTATAGGGAAAAACTGATACTATGCTCTGTGGTTCTCCAAAGACTCCCCACATAATCTTATGTCGTGAGTGGACAAGATAGCCCACGGTCTTCTACATCAGTCGCTACCCTAAGGCGAATAGTACACATCATGAGAATGACTGCATCCAATCGTCGTAGAAATACAACTGACGAACTAGAGCGATGACCACATCACCTGAGAGCCTTGTTGTTGTTCCGAAAGGTAACGCTTGCCCACTGAGATTGTGGAAAAGGAAGATACATAGCATCTCTACAGTCGCGATTCGAATCCACATCACAGAGGAATGCATCGCACTATTAGAAGTTCCGAAATCGACGAAGGCAGGTCACTGCAGTAGTGAATGTGACCTTCGCTCATCAACCTCCACAGACAGGAATGAGACAAACATCACTAGAGGAATGACCACACAGTCCACTCTGGAGAGGAATGACCAATAATTCGCTAGAGCGATATGACATCTGCATTCTACTACAGCCTCAAAATGACCGCTTGTTCAACTGTCCCCTGTAGACCGGCGTAAACGGACCTTCGCGCGCTATCAAGCAGTGAGCGTGCGATGTCCTGTTCAGATGACGTCAAACCCAACGGGATGCCATAAATAAACTACACAGAATCACACTACACACCTACGCAATGATTACATTCAGGCAGACTGTAGAATACAACCTCTTTGGACAATTGATATACTTATTGAAAACAAGCTACAAAATGTAATACCTTGGAAAATGCAGTTTAATACTTTTCAATAGCCTTAATTGTTGCTAAATTAATTTATCAACTTTTAATACTTTTTAAGACCCCGCGGACCCCCCGTCATGTATGCTTTCCATTGACAATAAAACAAAAAAGGTGGATAGAAGCCCAACCCTTTCATCATAATGTCAGGATCTACACATACTAAACGCTAAACCTCTGAACCCTAAAGCTCCAACACTAAATCAGACCAAACTATATCGGTGCACAGTTAAGGCACTGCCAAACTGTTTGATTTATAAAAGGTTCGTAAGGCAGGGGATAACTTAACCTGATGTCCCAATATCTTACACTTTAGTTGGAGCAGAGCTGATGCAAGCATTACTACCGGGGGTGGAAATATATGCAGATTTAAAAACATTTTGAGATCTTAACAAGCGTTTGAATGATAACAACATCAAATACTATATTGTTGTTGAGTTTGACAGTGAGTAGTCTGACTACATTTGATTGATTTGGATTTTACTGATCCTTATTTGTGACATTTTCAGGATGTTCTTGTACATCTTTTCACCAAAAAAAAGAGAGTTGTTATTATACATTTTGTTCTGTACAAGTTATCACGCATTGGTTTTATTACTTGATATCAAATTGGGCTGTATGTGACCCATACATTAAAAGGAGTTTGACACCCCTGCTCTATATCCTTCGTGAGTGTAGGATTTATTGCAGGATGATTGTAGAAAGACTTCTGCATAAACCGAATAAACTTGCAAATATTATAGCTAATTTTCATCCCCCAATAAACACTATCGCTTTCTATTCCAAAAGACACCTATTGGTTATTTTTATGACTGACTTTATGACGTCAACGTGCACCTAAATCAGATTTTAATACGCAGCAACCCCTTGAGATGAGTCAGTCAGTAAATTATCGCAAACAACTCAATGTTAAGTGCTCTGATCAAGGTCACTATTGCTATGATGAGTAGCAGAACATTGTGAATTTATTACTAAAGTTATATTTGTCGCTTCAATGTCACTGCACAGATCTCATTCAAAGGCTTTTATGTGATCACGCTGCTTGTGTCAGGCCACACCTGAATTGGTGTTAAATTGGTGTTCTTAGGTTCGTCTGCCAGCTAGAATCAAGATGATGAGTGAGTATTTACCTGGTTCTGCAGCAGGGGAACAGTGATAGGAGTGGTCGCAGATGTTTCCTGATGCTCATCCTCAGCAGTGCATGTCAACTGGTGCTGAAGCACTTCTTCCAGGGTGTTGAACTCCTGGTAGCACGGGAAGCACATGTACACCGACGAGCTCTCCATGGCCTCCAGAGCTTCCATGGCTGCCAGGGAAAGAGAATAAATTAAATTAAAAACAGTGCAATGCAAAACTGATTTAGTTAAAAGGGGAAACAGTTCACAAAACCCACCATGCTTAGAATATAGAAATTAATATCAGAACGTGAGCCTTATACAGATGCCTTCCAACCATTGCATTATATTAAGTTAGGTTGTGAACATTGCCCTCTCCTGATGAAAAGAAGTGCCTGCATATATTATCAAGACAACAGCTTGGACACAGCGGCAGGAGGCGAACCCCGGGTTGCCAGGATGACTCACCGTGCCTGAGCCGGAGCTAATTGTTATTTTGACCATGCAGGTTGCGGATCAGGTGGAGACCTCGCCAAGTCTCTCTTTTCCTGCCAATTCGTGGACTGAACAGACATTTAGCTCCAACATCAATTAGATATGTGCTGTAATTGGACCCACTGGAAGTGCAGTCTAGCACATGCTGCTGCTGAAAGTAGCTATAATCAAACACAATCTCTGCAATCCGTCCAACTCTCTGGATACCAATCAGACCTGTGACTGCAGCTGCAAAGCTCTCCTTTGAAAAAAGAACCATATTAATCAGAGAACCCCTCGAAAGACCAACATATCAATAGCTTTGATAGACACCAAAGTGACACACCTTTGCTGATCATTTTAATTGACAGACAAGGCTATGACTTAAAAGGATAAGGCCGCTGGCAATATTTTGCATTTTGTTATTGCCGACAAATCCCATGACAAGAGAAGATCAGTGCGATGTTAGTCTGGCTGTCAATGCTTTGTAACTTCCCCAGTGTGCCGGTGACATCTCATGTGTTCCGACTGACATCTTTAAAAAAGGGATTACAGATAAAAAAGGAACCTTGTCTAAAATAAGTAATCGCCTAAAAAAGTTTTAGAAAAACTAAGAATCAAATAGGGGGTTTTATTGCCTTTGTTGGGGAAGGGTTTCAGAGGCAGGTTCAGTGATTAAGTGAGTTTTTGAAGCAGCAGGACAGTATTTTTAGGATTAAATCATTGAAATAGTAATTTTAACTTGAAGTTTCATCTCGTTAAATGCAATATTTTGGCTCACTGAAACGTTTTCCACAGTTTTATGAACAACAATGTGGATCTATAACAAATGATCAGGTATTTGCTACAGTGGCAAAACGTGTTAGTGCTAAATACCCCCTGTTGGAATGTTGATTTTGTGTGTCTTGTTTATGCATGAAGAAAATATTGAAGATAAACAATAATTCAAACCATTAAATGTTGTAATAGTGCCTCAATACCCCCTGTTGGGAAGACAGTCTAGTAGTAGGTGCTTTTTTCTTCACAGCTGAATCTATAATGTCAGGTTGATTGGTCAGATAAGTTATATTTGTTGTGCCTTTGTATCTCCAATATGATTTAGAAGAAAGTGAGTAGACTGACTGAATGTGTTACAACTGAGAGATTTTGATCTTTCACATTTTTATTTGTGGCATTTTCAGGATGTACTTGTACTTCTTTACACCAACAATATCTATATCTGAGTTCTTCTTCTACCTTTGGCAAAATCTTTAATGTCAGGTTGAATGGTCAGATTTATACCACTCAGTTTTTGCAAGACGGCTACGTTACATTATTACATTACATGTAATTTGTTAGACACTTTTATCCAAAGCGACTTACATACATTCAGTACTGTGGACAATCCCCACAGGAGCAATTTGGGGTGAAGTGTCTTGCCCAGGGACACAACGACATGCTGGCTACAGTGGGGTTTGAACTTGCTATCCCCTGATTCGAAGTCCAGCACACTACTGAGCCACAGCCTCATACATCTCGTAAAGACCCAGATTTTAAGTGATTTACTTCTGCTTTTAACACATTTACCTGCAAACATCAGTTCCTTTTTATTTTATTTTCATGTAATCATTAGGTGTACTTAACATGTGCCATGAATGTTGGTTACATGACATGCAATGTTTAGGCAGCTGTGAGTGTTACAGGGTCAATGTCAGTCCAATATTGACCCAAAAAGGGACCTATACACCATTGGTCAAAATTAATTAAGTGTATTTACTCAAGCACTGTACTTAACTACAATTTTGAGGGACTTGTACTTTACTTAAGTATTTAAAATGGTTGCTACTTTGTACTTCTACCCCACTACAATTCAGAGGTTAATAGTGTACTTTTACTACAGTACATTTATATAAACATATTTAGTGACTTTGTAGATTTTGATTAATAATGTGAAATATACAAAACACTTAAATAAGAATTTAGCATTCTGGAATAACAGTTGTTTTTGTTACATTCTGCATTTATTCATGAGACAGGTGTACTTAACATGTGCCATGTATGTGAGTTGCATGTCTATGGTTACATGACATTCAATGTTTAGGTAGCTGTGAGGGTTACAGGGTCAATGTCAGTGCGATATTGACTCACAAGGGGACACGTAAAACCAGCTAAATACCAATAACTCCTAGTTGATGCAATCGCAGGCCAATAATAAAGCCTCATGTTAGCTCATTTGACAGTTTAGCTTGTCTGACCCGAGCTAGCACCTTAGCATCCAGCTAGCATACTGTGTTACCTTTGACCAGTTACTGTGTTGCTAACATGCAACGCTGGCCATTTTTCGAGCAAAATGGCTAGCGTTGCCCCGGCGTGGTTAGCTAGCTCTCTTGCTATATCGGAAGCTAATCAAACAACCGTGAGAACATGTATTTATAGCGGGGAGCTGTAGCTACATTAGCCGGTGTCTAAACCTCTTTTTGCCACTTGGACCAGTGGTGCCTAGTTTCTGGTAGAAGGAGAAGAAGAAGAAAAGACACGAAGAAGGAGGGCGGGATACGCTTCTTCGGTGGTGTAATGGCGGCGACAGACTTAAAGTTACCATTAGCTGTCTCCCCCCGTCGAGAAACTCCATAACATGAATATCAATGAGAAATATCTCACCGAAACAGTAGCATTTGTGTACAAATAAGTCAAATAAATGCAACATTACTCACCGCACTCAGACGTTACCAGTCGAGGAAATAGGACAACAACTTCAGGTTTTTTTGCATGTTGGAAGGAGGGATCTGATTGGCTGTGGTGGTCAATTCATGGACCAATGAGGTTGGACTACACATAACACTGAGGGAGTTTGTAGTCCAAAAGCGCGCGAGAGGGTCAGTGCAGCGCCGTATAGATTTATATTATAGGGCTCTGGGTCAGTGAGTGCAGTAGAATCAAATGAAAGGTCACATTTGGGATACATGTATTTTACTTCAGTGTTTTTTATCTACTCTGTACTCACACTTTACTATATTTAAATATTGTACGTATTGCTCCATGGCAGATAGTATACCCAGCAGCGTGTCACTGATACATCACTTCTTAAAACTCATATATTTTAAAGCCTGTCATCATTAATAATGCCATGCCATCTACATCCATGTTTTGTTTGATTTTACTTTCTTTTTTCCATTGCATTCATATAGTTTACGCAGGGATGGGGTTGGGATGGTTGACCTAATGTTCTGTTTTCTCCTGAACGCAAGGGTGTAACTTTGGTTTGAGAAGTGGGGGACACACAAAACGGGGTCCTCCACAATGAAACATTTTCTCAATTTAATTCCATTTCCTGCCTTTCTACAAATATATTAGGGACTATAGTGCTAACAAATCCAAGAAAAATGCGTAGTGTATATAATGAGTGTGCACACTTATCTAGTATCCTATCCATGTGAGCCTGTTTTATTTGTGGTGACCTCAAATCCTCTAGGGGGGTCCGGGGGCATGCACCCCCGGGAAAATTTGTTTCTTTAAATTGAAGTTGAATGCATCCATCTGGTGCACAAATTAAGAGATTTATGGATACAGCTCTCAACTCATATGAAACAGAACTGTATAGCTATTTCAATAATCAAAAAACCATTAGAATATGCTCACAACCAATAACAAATCATTGATAAACTCCTCTCTCCTATCTTTATCTTACCTAGTCTGCATTGTTTCTTTTTATTTATGCATATTTGACTAATCACTCCGCTTTCAAACTGTGTTTTTTTATTTTGTACTGACCTATAGTTCACATTGGAAGGATTTCTTAACTTATTTTATATACTGTAGTGCCGAGAGATAGGGAGTCAGAGGCGGTGCAATGATGGTGTAAAAGGGTACTTTATTTAAGAGCTGGAAAGGACATGTTGTCCGGTTGCAGTCCGGGAAGAAGAGAGAGTGAAGTCAGGAGGGCACACAACATATAGTAAACACAAACANCCGTTGTTTGTTGTGAGAGAGATGTATTTTTTAGAGTATTGATACAGCGTTTAAGATGTGTTACATGAAGACAGTGCATCAAAAGAGACATATGAGGACCGTTTCAGAGAGGCTAGTTATTCAGCATATATTGGAATGTGAAAAGTACCAATCATGTGCTAAGCCATGCATCAATGTTCGGATTAGAAACGTGAAGGTTGGTCGTCTGGCGGGCCGACAGCCAATCAGAGCATATACCACTGCTCCGGACGAGGGATTTTTATCTATGAACTATTGTGATGCTCGAACAGAGCGCGCGGTGTCGGTACCAGATGTGTTCGGCGGTACCATATGTGTTCGGGGGCCGTCTTTACCAATGACGTCCACGATTGTACGCATTGTGATTGGCTGTACGGTAATTTACCCAGGGGTGCTCGGGGGCAAATCACATCTACAGATCATGACGAACCGAATTAATTATTTCTATGCCCTAGCGTGTTGAAAAATGTTTGTGAAAAAACAGGGTTAAAAAACATGAAGAAACGGAGCAAGGCTTTACGCCATTGGCTGTACGGCAACTCCAAGAACCATCATCACACGGTCAAATTCCGAACATTTAAACATAGCCCTAACACTTCATTCTTACTTTGTCCGTTATTTATATGGTAGAAGAGAAATAACGCTCTCTGTGAAAGGTCCCAATGTGTTCATTTTGATGGGCTGTCTTCTGAAGTGGGTTAAGCATCACTAATGAATTTCTTGACTTCTGACTGCTTTGGATATATAATTACACCACAATTAAGGTTTTACTATCACAGTGCACTGATTTGTGACAAACTGTAAAGCACTTACGCATCACTGTACAACTGTAAACCAAGGCGGTTTTGCCATCACTTACTGTACTGAGGCTCAGTCACTGGTACATTTTTCATTTACAAAGCCATGTTGGATAAAGTACCATCTTATATCTGCTCCCTGATCTCTCGCAAATTGAAAGTACTTATTGCCTGAGATCTCATGCTGTGGTTTTATTAAATGTGCCAAGTGCTAGGACTGTCTTAGGGGAAGAAAGCTTTTAGATGTGCAGCTCCACTAACTTGGAACAGTCTGCAAAAAGAATGTAAAATTACCAAGCTGGTACCACTACATGTTTTTAAAGCTCGGTTGGATGCTCCACAGTCAGATGCTGTTGGTACCTGTACATGTGGATAGATATGTAAATTGTAATCCCTGTAATTTTTTGCTGTATGATGTCCTTTTGTTGTTCTGTTGTTTATGTTTTTATGTCTTCATGTGGAACCTACTGCTGCAGGTCTCCCTTGAAAAATAGATCATTGATCTCAATGGGATTTTACCTGGATAAATAAAGGTTTTGAATTGAATGTCGAGCATTAACTGCAAGTCACTCAAATGCATAAACTGGAGAATTAATTATGTTACAAAGGTTACAGAAAACATATCCAAGTGTAACACAAACATCCAGTATTAACCTTACTGTTTTTTTACTAACAGTAACCAACTAATAATTTTCATAAAGTGCATATTTATTCCAAACTCACATATATATATATTATATATATATATATTATGTAATAAAACATAATGCACAATGGTACACAGTATCCAAACTCTTTAGGCACTGGTCAGAGGCATTCATGTAAAGCAGATCACCAGAATCCAATACTGGTAAAAACGTTGCAGAGATCAAATGTTTCCTTGTCTGAAAGGAGAAACCTAATTTTAAAACAACATTTTCAGTGTGTGACTTGAAAGATAAGTTCTGATCAATAATAAAACCTAGATATGTGTATGTAGTGACCCTTTCAATGTCAATGTCAGTCCCTTGAACAGTACAAATGTTGGGGAGAAAAGAAGTTAACTTTTTGCCATTTGAGAATATCATGAGTTTGGAGTTGTCTGCATTTAATATTAACTTGAGTTGAGATAAATGGGATTGAATAACATCAAAGGCAGACTGGAGGAAATCAAGACTTTGCTCTATAGAAGAGGATGAACAATAAATAACAGTATCATCTGCATAAAAATGGAAAGCAGCATTTGAAAAATTCTTAGAGATTATTTACATATATGGTGAAATTATTGGTCCTAATATGGAACCTTGGCGCACACCCTTTCAAATCAAATCAATCAAATCAAGTTTTATTTATATAGCACATTTATAAACGATTTTTGGTCGAGCCAAAGTGCTGTACAAATAATAAAAATACCCTACAGTAAAGACATTTTACAGCTAATACAACAGCAGTTTGTTCAGAATATCAGTATGAGAAGAAAACGACACCCTCTGTCCTTAGACCCTCACATCGTACAAGGAAAAACTTCCAGAGAAAACCCACAGTTTAAAGGGAAAAATGGGAGAAACCTGGCGGGATCCCTCTCCCAGGACGGACAGACGTGCAATAGATGCCGTGTGTAAATCGAAGAGATAATACATTTTACAACATAGGTAGACCGAATGTTAGGAAATGCATGTGTCTATAATAAGAGGATGAATCCACGAAGATGTCAACAATCCTGTGGGAGCCTTCAGGGAGGCAGCACGACGAGACCCAGGCAGGACCGCAGAGACAGGTTCAGCCATGACCCGAAGTCCACGACTTAATCCAGAACTCAGGATAGAGGATCCAGGATGCGGGACCACAGCAAGAGGATCAGCCTCGACTCAAGATCCCGGCGTCGATATAGACACAAAAGAAGAAAAATTTGGCTGGGTTAATCGGAACATGAGAATACACAGATACAGACAGACAGAAGGAAGAACAAGCACTCCCTTTGGAGTGATTTTTTTAAAATATTGAAGTTAAATGCATCAATCTGGTGCACTTTGAGAGCAAAATGAAGAGATATATGGATACCTCTCAACATCCATATGAAACAACTGTAAACAGATTTACTTTGTCTTTATGGATTCGATTGTGGACTTGATTGTGATTGCTGCACATTATCCCTTACTTAATAAATACTTTTTTTGATAATCTATTATATAGAAAAGTATATCATATTGATATATAATATATAATTTATTGATAATATATAATATAATCAAATATAACAATCAAAACGAAATAAGTAGTATTAAGTATTAGGGCTAAGAAAATATTGTACATGTGAAATAGTTGTATTTATTGATTTAAATTGACCTGCATACGCTAAGAAAAATAGTCCGTTGTTACTGTTTGAACTAACGTACCAACGGCACTGAACATATTACATATTACCTACCATATTACGTTATATACTTCTTACCTTCAATTTCTCTTGTTCTTCTCCTCATTCGTCTTTGTTTTTCTTCAAGTTTTATTGTATTTCTTCAAGTTTTTATCTTGTTGGTCGAATGCACTTAAGCGTCAGCTAAATGCAATGTAATGTAATGATCAAAAAAACCCTAGACAGCGTGGGTAAATTACCGTACAGCCAATCACAATGCGTGACGTCATTGACGTCATTACGTCGTGACGTCACTGGTAAGAGATGGACCCCGAACACATATGGTACCCCGAACACATCTGGTACCGACAGCGGCTCCAGGGTATGGCTGGGGTAGGCTACAGCCATACCAAGAAATGGCTTAGCCCCAACTTAGCCCCACTATGAACAAGTATGTTAAAGTGAGCACAGAACAAAGTAACAAAAAACTAAAATGGAATTCATTTTTTTTTTTAAATATGTCGTGTAGTGATAGATTTTTTTTTTCTTCTCAAGAGTGTACCAGAATGTGTATTTTATGTTAGTATTTCAAAAAATCTCCTGGGGGAGTATAACATATATATCATCCGCATAACAGTGGACAGAGCACACGGTTCTGTTGCAACCGTGACTGAAAGCAATGTCAGCAAATAATAAGATGTAAGTTGTAAATGCACAAACATTTATTTCTTCAAATGTAACAACATGTAAGCTAAAATGTGAGTTTGACGAATGTTAAAAAAAACAAAAAACTGGTTGGTGCAAATGTACAGTGTACATTGAAGATCACACGCAAATTAGTAAATTGTATTTGTTTTGAAGATAAACTAGATCCACCTATAGGTTTCAACAATGAATCTTACATTTAGACATTACATTTGTATAACTTAAATTGGAGTTTTATATTTGTACGTTTTGGAGATAAACTGAAGCCACGTGGGATGCAGCAATTGTATCTATTCAGTATGAATTGAAAGTGAACTATCCCTTTAAACTTCATTTCTTTCCATTCGTTTCCTCTTTTAACGTGCAATTTGATTGGCTCTCCTCATTGCTTCTAGCCAATCAGCCGCCGCCTGCTATGGAGGAAGGAATAAATGCAAGATGGCTCCTCATATAAAAACAGTCTTCTGGGTAGCCCTCGGCTTGCTACAAAATAACTCTTTACACCTTATTAGGTTAAGATATTTATCCTCGAAGAGTTCTGAAGGGTAACTTAAGCTATAGATTGATATGCGTATGGTAATTGTCGATATTTTCTGGGAGAAGATAGTGAAGATACAGCAGGGACAACTTTGAAGCCATGAATCGGTGGTGAACTCTCTCCGCTCGGCAGACAGAGTTGGGCGGTCAGAAGCACACAGCCTGGGCCTCAGCTAGCTAGCCGTAGCGGCTAACTAGCTTATGACTTCATCCAGCTAACAACGTTACCATTATCCGCCGCGTTGGAAACGTTAAACAGCAGAAAAGGAAACGTTTTAAACTACTGGTTGCCTGTTGAATGTGGGACGTGAAAGGCCATACCATAACGGACCATGGCTGTATCAAGGTAAGAATATCTTATGCGGACTCTAGTTTTATCTATCCGACTTTCCTCACCAATTAGCTGGCTACCCTGCTAATATAGGCTAGCTTTTAATTTGTCAAAGAATGGCATGGCGACGGCCGACTAGCCATCAAAGCTAACACAGTGTAACTTATAGTGTAGTAAATATTCGTGGTACACGTTTGCAGGCTGGTCACTTAACTGGGATTAATGCTTACTGCCGGTGCCAAAATGCCGGTAGAATTATTTCAAAATTTGGAAATGCACATCCTGTACTGACACACGTTAAGGATTAACTAACATAAGCATTATCGGGAAATGGGTCAACAAAATCCAATTTCCACTGGCTTCTTGTGCATAGTTGTATTGTTGGTATTCTGATCATGGAAACGTTTAGTATTAAAGTTCCCATTTTAACGCTAAAAGCGTGTCAAAATGCATGTGTTTGCAGCATGATAAAATTAGGGACATCTTTAATCTCTCTAAACATGCTTGATAAACTTATTGTAACTTTGTTTTGATTGGCAGGTGTTTTTCTGCTGTTATTCTTATGGTGATTCCACGTGGTGTCTGTCGTCCTCTTTGCATAGCAAAGCAGACTCCTGTGGTTTAGTTTAAGTATTAGTGCTACTCTAATCCACTTTATTAATAGACTGATAATGATCTCGGTAAACATCAGGTTAATTACACAGGTTATCTTGGTCGAAAGCTAAACAATGACTGCTAGATAATGGTTTTAATAATAATAGTACTAATAATAATAGTACACTTACTTCAATTCTATTTGTTAACCTGTATATTAGTATTTTATATTGAATAGAGATACTCTAGGTATACATATTTCACTGTTGATCTGCACATATGCACTGTTCTCTTTTGTTTGTTTATTTTTAATTAATGTGAAATGCTTTTTCTACATTCTGCTGTGAAAAAATAATTTCCCAAACTTGGATCAATAAAATTATATCTTAAATGTTATTATCTTAATATATAATAATAAGTGTCATGATGAAAATATGATTAAATGTTTTAAATTCCATTTAATTAATTTTAGCAGAATGAAAAAATGTCAGATCAGTGTACACAAAAATGTAGATAATTGATTGTGTTCATGTTAACAACCTAAAGATGGTCCTGGTAAATAAAGAAGCCAGCATTTTGTTCAAGTGATTTCCACTGTCTTAATGTGTCAGTTGACCCTATTTATTTAATGTGACCTGTCTTTAGACTTGATCGTTTGTTTATACTGCTTGACACCGGAACAACACCAGTAACCAGGAAAGCAGCCGCCCAGCAGCTTGGAGAAGTGGTCAAACTCCATCCACAGGAACTCAATAGCCTTCTGCTAAAGGTGTGTTTGATAACTGTTTCCAAACTGTCTTTCATGAGCATTCATAACATCATTTCAACCTGGCTATATTTTCCTCTTCCTTAGGTGACATATGGGAAATTCTGATCATGTATAACAGTGTCATTGTTGCTAGTAGGTCAATGAGCCATCTGTGATTCTAATTATAAATACATTTTTAGTTGAAGAGGACATACTATGCTCATTTTTCGGTTCATATTAGTATGTAGTGCCTCTACTGTGACATTTTTCCATGCTTTCATGTTCTAAAAGCTCTTCATTTTTCTAATACATACCTCTTGTCTTCTCTCAGAGAAACTCCCTTTGGAGGTTACACAGAGATTTAAGCCTTTGCAGACCATTTACATGCAGACAACTATCGAACACACTACAGGGAAGGGAACTCCCCAAAAGCATTAAACAAATTAAATGTATTATCTGTCAACGTTCAGGTCTTGATCTACCTAAGGAGTCCTAATTGGGACACCCGAATAGCAGCAGGCCAAGCTGTAGAGGCCATTGTGAAGAATATTCCTGAGTGGGACCCGGCGCCAAGGCCCAAAGAAGGTGATCTTTTTGGTTGAATTTCAGTATATCTGAGGCATGTGTTCTTAACCAAACACTGCATGCACTATTGTTTACCTTTGGTTCAGTTACAATACATGTGATCCATTAATCAGTTGTGTGATTTTTATTGATTTTTTAACCTGATAGTTAAAAGATGTTACAGGAATAACTGACTCACAAATATTAACGTAGCATTTCTTTGTCAGTAATAGGTTAGCATTTTTTGCTCGGGGGTAATTCAGAGGGTCAGTGTAAGCATTTTTCGTTTTTTTTTTTTTTTGAAGAAAAAGAAAAAAAGATCAGTTAAATGAGTTTTTCCCCGTTATATGGATATAAAATATTCATAGTTTATTAAATATTAAGGTTCCTGAGACGTTGTTTCCTGCAAATGCCGCAATTTCGGCCCCGGAACCGGGTCCGTGGGGCTTAAGAGGTTTTAAGATGTAAAATTGAGAAAGGTGCAGTGTTTGATACTTTTTTTCTATCTCTCTTGTAGAGTCTTGTGAAGACTTGTCTCCGGAGGACTCCTCTTGTGACCGCTTGAGTTTCTACCACTTTGACATCTCCCGCCTCCTCAAACACGGAGCGTCTCTGCTGGGATCTGCGGGGGCGGAGTTTGAGCTGCAGGATGACAAAAATGGTTTGTAGTAATTCATCATTGCTTGTTTTTTAATTTGAACGACCTCCACACTGTGGAAAGGAAAAGTGTGACTAATTTGAACCGTTAATACAAGATAAAGGCCACTGGACAGCCTCACACAAACCAGCTCAAGTGCGCTAGAATTTGAAAGTACACAACCGAAAAAAACAGACTTCCTTACAGAGCCCCTCCTCCAACACACACGAACCAATGAGAGCAAGAGATAAGTTTGTACACGAGATGGAAGGCTGACAGGCAGGTAGGCCATCCAGTTATCTGCCGCGGGCCGAGGCAGATAACTGATGGGGCCTGGCGGGATCCCTACCTCTGCAGGTGTGGAGAGTTAAGTTGTACAAAGTATTTAAAAGACTTATGTAAACTTGGTAAAACTCAAAATGAGATACAGAATGAGATCTTGATCTTGGCCGGACCCTGATCCGGAGTTCTCAGAAAGAACATCGACCGTCTTGTATCTTTGTTTAACCACCCCGCGTGAAGCGTCCACGTGTGTAATTTAAGGCCGCGAGCGCGTGAGTGTAATAACGATCCTGGGTGCACGGAATCGGGCGACGATACTGAGGTAGGATCCCCTTTGGAACTGTACATATTCAAATGGTAAAGAAGAGATAAAATAAAGATAAAACGTACAACGTACACCTCCTGGACCCCTGAAACTAAAATTTGTTACGACAATTCGATAACACGCAACTGCATTCAGATAATTTACAACTTAACTCTTGTGGGTGTACCAACACTGCCCGAACCTAGGTCGCACCAAAACGAAGGAACGCGAGACCGAGTGACCCGACCGGCGACAGCAGCTCCAGGAGCAGCCAACTTGTCCGAGGAGACACCAGAGTACGGTTAACGGCGGGTACAGGTATGGGTTAAGAAGACTCCTCGAAAGAGACCGCCCGTCCACTGGCCGAGAATCCCAGGTAGATTCGACTCTTTTCTTTTTGACCTACAGTCTTGGTCATGGTACCATCGTACACCACTCCTCACACTAATTACCAATAAAACCCGTCAATCCCTTCGACCCACTGTTTACGATAGCTTTTCCTTAAGTTCTTGTCAACCCATGAAAAAAATTACAAAAACAATAAAAGTTATATGTGATGAAATCTCTAATATTCTGTGGGTGTAATTTTTACACAATTTTAGGACAAATTAGTCTGAGCATGTGTCTTTAGGTAATGTGTGCGAGATTGACGGTACTCCATATTGTTATAAAGTACCATGTATCTATTAGTTATTATTTTCGTTCAATAATTTCCCACCCCATGCCATAAGCAAAAGTCTTTGGTACAATATAAGGCTACCTTACGAAGCAATTGTAGGGCTTCGTTACTTATGTAAATTTACGATACTGTAATTATAAGTCATACGTTGGTCATACCAATTTTTTCTCTCTTATAAGCTTCGTCTTTTTTTGTCGCATTAATGGAGACTGTTACGTCTAAAAAGAAAAACCCTATAAAATGTAAGGTGAAAGTGGAAAGTTTGAGATAAGACAATAAAAATTGTTAGAAAAAAAACAATGACAGTATATCATAAAATGGCACAATATTAACTCAGAAGATACAAGTAATTATTGATATTAACAGTAAGTCCACACGATATTGGAGTGACTCGACTCGCAATCAAATCGAGAGTCCTCTCTCAGAGAAGGTGCGACCAACATTTTTTCAGAAATTAAGCAATCGTAATCATGCCGATTGTCCTACGATTTGTTGGCTAGCGGTGACACGGAATTTTGATTTCGTGTTCGGTGCGTTTGTGACGCCGTACGACATGCCGAGAATACCCAGACGTATAAACTTCTCGAACCTCGCCGAAGCACGAGAGGCAATGAGGAAATCCTGCTCTTATTTGGTGCACTTCTGCATACCACGCGAGCACAACACAAGTACTGGACAGAACCGGTCCTTTGGCCGTGAGGGAAACAAATATATAAAACGCTAGATCAAAGAAGAAGAAAAAACTTCACCCTTCAACAGGCAGGCAGGCAGGCCAGCCTGCCTGCCTGACTGCCTAGGGGGGGGGTTTTGCTTTTGAGAAGCGAAGAGGGCTTAATGTGTCAGTGGGTTAGGTCGCAATTTTTCGCCCCCCGCGGCTTTCGCGATTAACGGTAGTGACTCTATATATGTTTATAAAGTAGACACCCTTCGGCACCGCGAC